GCTGAAGGAGAGAGAAGGTGGCACAAGAATTGTTCCTGCCTTAAGCCAGGCATTTGCCTTCTTTATCATGTCCCGTGATAAAGTAAGAATTCCCAGATCCCAACATCGTCCCCATCCAGCCAAGGCAAGCCACCACTTGACCTCTGCTGCAGTGGAGACGCAGCCTTCCACATAGCAAGCACAAACGTCCGACTCCCCATGCTCACAGGTTGCGTGCCCAGACCCTTTCCTCTTCGCCCTCGAGAGCATCTTATAACTTGGCAGAAGTGAGCTGTGGCAATGACCAACAAAGATTGGACTGGGAGAATACAGCAGTTGTCATATGGGTCAGCCTAACCAGCATCCTCTTACCGACCACAGCAAACATCGGAGGCTCCAGAAAGTCATGGCTGTCCCAGTATCTTTGATCCAGAGCAAATTTTTTTTTTACCAATCATATTGGCTGAGCCCTATGCTGAGGGGGAAGGTTTCTGTATTTTTTTAACAGCTGATTAGTTCAATCCTTACCAACTACAGTTGTTCTGTTATCCATATATAATTCCCATCATGAGGGATGAGATTCTTCTTCCCCTTCTCTCCCACCTTTCTTTGACCGCTGCCCTGTAGAAGTGTGCAGCAGTTGTAGCCCGCCTGCACCCTCCCAATGCAGAGAGCTTGTTGCGCGTCCTCCCACTTCAAAGCCAAGAACAGGCAAACAGTCTGTGGCTGAACACTGTCTGAATCGGAAAGGAGCTCTTCTTCCCCAGGAGAGAGAGGCTGCCCGGTAGCGCTGCCTCTGAATCACCCCTCCTTGAGCTCCTCCTAAGAAATGCTGCGAGACTTCCTCATTGATTGCCCCAAAACATACTTTGCGGTAACAAGAGGAACAACAGCAACTACAATAAACCAGGCTTTAGGTACCAACCCCAACTCAGCCTCGTTGAAGCGTTAGCTGTCTATGACTCTCCGGCAAAAATGTACATCTCTATTTCAGGCTTTGATTGAGGCTGGAAGCTTGCAAGTGCGAAATGTCTACCTAGAAAACTTGCAACCTCTCTTCTGAGCTGCAGCACTGAATGCACTGCGGTAATGTTTTACAGGCATGGAGAAAGCAAGCCATCCATCCTAGGCAGGCGTGGAGAAGGACAGGTTATTCAATGCGGCTTTAAAAGTTTCCCGTAGTACCAGTTCCATTATGCAGAGTTTTGCCATCTCATTCCAGGTGAAGTATGAGTCAGAATACAGGAAAGCTATTTTTAAAAGATCTTGCAGATCTACAGCTGTATCCCAGCTACAGATTAGAAGAAACATTCACCATTGATACAAGTCATGGTGACATGCTGAGCTGCAGATCACAGGACAGAGAAGAAATATGTGAACAGGGTTTTATTTTTAAAGATATATGACCTGGGATGGTGGTGAGAAGAATACTGCCTGATGTTTATTTTGAGCCTAGAAAAGTAAGGGGACTTGCTGTAAATGTGGGTTTTTCTCAGAGACAATGTTTTAGACACAGATGAGATTTTCAAAGGAGCAGAGAAAGACCGCATCTTTCTTAAATTTCAGTGACACGTCCATATCTATATCCTGAGGACTGCTTTGAAGGTTTGGCTGACTGATCCTGCTCTGCTGGCAGAGGAACGGAACGAGCAACGAACAGATCCTGTGTCATCCCACACCGCCCCGGGAGCAGCTGCAGCACTTGGTTTTCTGCTGCTCTCTCCTCCAAGGCTGTGACTTTTTTTTCTCCTTTCATTGCCAACTTCAGTGCAAACTCATCCCAGCCCCACGGCTGTTCTCAACCTGCTGAGCTGCTGCTCCAAAACTGCACAGCCCTGAGAGAAGTACATTTCATATACGCACTGGTTCCCTGCCCCTGCCCTGTAGGGACAGCTATGCGGTCATAGGGACACGGTGATTTATCTCCACAAACCCTGAAACCTCCCCACTTCAGTTTTCCTTGCTATTATGCTCTCCACGTTGGCCTTCATGGTTTGAGAAGAGCATGGGGGGTGGCTCAAGCAGCAGCTCCTCAGCGTGTCACCTTCAGTGCCGGGTTCCCGAGGAAGCATCCTGAGAGCATCAGCGCAAGAGCCTTCAAAGCTGCGGCTGAAACCATCTGCAGACGTGCTCTGAACACAAACACAGGCTTCTCCTCCTGCTCACGAGGATCAGGAGTGTGAAGACGTGTCAGAGGGAAATGCTAACCCAAGGGCTAGAAAGGCTCACCTCACTCAGCTCCTGCTCTTTAGGATAGTCCTCAATGTACCTTCATCTGGCTGCCTGCAAAGGCACCAGCATGTCCATACAGGAGAAGCCCCTTGCCCAGAGTTGGCCAGACACGGGCATCTGTGTTGGCAGCAGCTGGTAACAGTCTCCAGCCTGCACACAACCCATTGAGCTATCGAGGCAATGCTGCAAGACAGTGCTCTGCCCATGTAGAAAGGACGACAGGAGAACCTGTGAAGGTGTCCCACAGCCTGCAGCATGGGCTGCCGTAGGCTAGAAGCGCAGCACTTCATCCCTGTTCAGTGTCACCGCATGCCAGTCAGAGCGCTGCTGCTGAGATGAGATGCTGATGAGAGCTTGCTTGGGTTGGAGCTTCCCAAGAGGGTGGCAGAGCACGAGGACACCAAGGTTTAAAGGTGACGATGCAGGAAGGACCCTGCAGTCTCCAACCCTCCTGGGTGCCAAGACTTCACGGTCTGCAGATATACTCATCGGACCAGCTGAGGCAGTGCTGGACGCCATCCCGGCACAGCCTCCTGGGGACGCAGGAGCAGTACTCGTAGAGCACAGGGCTGCAGCTCCACCACTCCGACCCGCATGGGGGGCAGGTGGCCACTGGGAGGGGTGGAAAACAGGGAACAGAAATGCTTTTGCTGCACTGACCCCTTATCTCCCTTCTTTAGATGAGTAGCTACCCTTTCATCTCTGGCAGCTACTGAAAAGCTACTGGTGATGACCCTGAGTCTGTGAACTCACCAAAGAGGACACTCACTTGATGCTACTTGTGGGAGACAACCAGGGAGCGTGACATTGCGATGACCTTTGTGGCAGACATGCCATCCTGAGAGGAACAACTAGATGTAATTTATTTTTTTAGCAGGCTACTCTAGAGAAAGCTACTGATACAGGCAGGTCTCGCCTGCGGTTCAAAACCACGGGGGTCACTTAGGAACAATCCTGCTGCTCATTTTAGCGAGAGAAGGATCTAGATGGCTTTGAAGCTGCTGAGGCACACTCAGTCCCCCCAGCTTAGAGACGTACCCATCTCCTGACCAACAACCAAAGGCCAGTTTGAACGATCGCTGCTGCCTACAGCGATGCACCGCCATGAAACTGCAAGCCGCAGAGGAGGAGCAACTTCTGGGGATGGGAGCAAAGCGCAGAGCCTTTCCCCTCGTGGCTGCCACCAGGCTTTGTCACAGAGCCCTTGGCAGCTGATGGGATGGAGCCTGCACGGTTCATACTCGCGTCCTATCCCAGCTATTTTGTGTTTTAGAGGTGGATGCCAGCCTCCCGGCATTTCCAGCAGCATCAGTGAGCGCCACACCCTTACAGCCTATTTCAATCCATCAGCAGAAAAGACCTCTTGCCCAACAGTAGCCAGAAAAGAGACTTACAGCTGCCCATCTCGTCAGAGCAGTCTCCGCAGTTGTTCATCCCATTACACCTCTGATCGGCATAGACCCAGTACGCGGGGTTACTGCAGCGGAAAACCAGGTATCCCGGAAGGCTGCGGGGCAAGTCACCTGCAAGGGCGGACAGACAGGACACGTGCTCAACTCCACCGGGCACGGACACACCGTCTGAAACAGGGACGGCAGCTACCGAAGGCTGCTGTCATGGGGGGTCTGTCGGTCCTTCCCCATGCGGTGTCAGGGCACAAATGATGCCGCAGACAGGGAAGCTGCGGTTTGAGAGGGAAAGGGATGCTCATGGCTGAGCCAGAAGCAGAGGCTGGGTGTCCCAAGCTTCTGCTTTAATGAGTTTTTTTCCAGGGTAACCAGACAATAAATTAACCATGTAGGCATGCAGCTTAACCAATGGAGGAAAATAGCATTATGGTTAAAAAAAAAAAAAACAACCAAGGAAGATCAGAGGAGCTTGGAGTCTTTGATTCCTGGCACTCCCGCTGGGTTTTGGGCAGCACAGTCTCTCTGCATCTGCCCTACAAAGGATCTACCAGGCTTATCTGCTCTCGTATGTGTCCGGAAGCACGGAGCAGGATGAGGGACTGCTCTGTCTCACAACAGGAAGACCAACACGGGGAGGAC